CTTCTCACCAAAGGAAGAAGGCAGAAACATTTTCAAACTACCTGGCTCTTAGCTAAAGAGAATTCTGATATTAAAGTGAAATTGAATTCTCACAGTTCTATCACTGTCCTCACAGTGCGTCGTTAAAACCCTCCTCCTGAGGTGAAGCGCTTAGTTTTCTAATAAAGAAAATTCTTTGGGTTTCAGGATGACTCACTTAAAAATTAATTCCCACCTCTAGCCGGAAGGGCTCTGCCGGAGGCGTGCAGGCCCACTGGCAGCACAGGTGCTGAGCTCCCATTCCCCAGCAGCACAGCAGCGGCCCCCCTCCCAGGTCTCCCAGACCCTCCCCTGATTGTGCAGACCCACACTCAGCCCTCAGCTTCCTCCCCACCAACAGCCCAGGTCGGTCTCCCCTGTCTCCCACCCTTCCCCTCGGACATGCTAATCTTCTCCCCAGCATTTAGGCATAAGCAGGACCAAAAATCTTGAAATTATTCCCTTGTTGAAAGAAGGCTAATTCTTTTTTCTCTAACAGAAATTCACTAACATCACTAACTTTCTAATCTCTATTTTACTACTTATAAAAATGATGAGTGTTGCATAAATTAAACAGACATAATGCTTTATGACGTCTCTTTGAATTTCACATATCCTCCAAGATCCCCAGAGAGCAGGCACTGGAGCAGGAATCCCCTCGTGCTTTTTTCTTACATCCTTAACTGGACTGGAAGTTCTTCAGGGCAGAGGAATCAATGAATAAAGTGAAAGCATTAACTGTAGGCAGCAGTGGCTTTAAGAGGGTTTCTTTTGAGTATATTTTTAAAAAATGAACCTTATAGTTTAATTGTAATAAAGAAGGTAATCTATCTATGTATATATAAAATCCTAATATGCAAATAGGCCAAACAGCAGAACAAAGATCAGTATGATGTGCACTGACCACCAGGGGGCACGTGTGGAATGTGGCAGGTGTTAGCCATGCGGGATGGTGGAGCAGGTGAGTAAGGATGCCAGACCAAGGCAGGGCACTGATTGCTGTCATCGGGGCGAGCCACTGGTGGTTGCTGAAAATCTTTTGCTCCTGCGCACTGCAGTCCCACCCGGTGCTCACACCCGCTACCAGCACCAGCCCTGCTCACACCCGCTGCTAGCACCAGAGCCACCACTCACACCTGCTGCTGGTACCTGGTGCCAGCCCGGATCACTTGGCACTGTCAGCAGGTGTGAGCAGCAGCTGCCGGCCCTGATTACCCCTCAGGGCTTCTCCACCTCCCCCTGCTCCTGAGGGATGATTGGGGCTGGCAACTGCCTCTTGCACCTGCTGCCAGCACCGGCCCCACTCACACCCACTGCCAGGCCCTGCTCGCACCAGTTACTACCGTGTTTCCCCGAAAATAAAACATCCTCCGAAAATAAGACCTATTTACAGGTTTCCTTCTGAGTGAAATATAAGGCATCCCCCTGAAAATAAGCCCCCCCCCCCCCAGGCTCTGTCTCAGAATGAAAATTAATTTACTGTAAACTGGTCGCTAGGGCCACCCCGACTGGCGTCTAGCAACCAGTGATGTTACTCGGACTCCTGAGGTCACTGCTGTGTGGAGGCGGAACGGAGGTCGGAGTGAGCGGTGAGCACCGGGCGGGAGAGAGAAGGAGACTTTCGCAGATGCCTGTAGAACAGGATTAGAGTGGACGGGACGCGGCGAAGGTGCTGAGTGCTGGTCTGTCTCTGGTGACACTACCTGATGCTCGTGGCCGCCCTCATGATGACTGAAGGTTCTCAGCCAGTGGCAGACCCTGCTCCAGCCCAGATCCAGGCCCCAGCAAGCCCAGTGGCAGACCCCAGGCAGGCCACAGGGGGTAAATGTCTGATAAAGGGGTAGGGGGGATGTCTTGTGAAGGTGTTCAGTGGCACAGGGGTAGGGAGAGGGGGGGTCACTTAAAATGACACAGGAGGATCAGAGGGGGCAATCAAAATGACACAGAAGGATCAAAAGGGGTTACTAAAATGGTAATTCTCCCCTCTGATTCTCCTGTGCCATTTTGATTCCCCCTCTGATCTCCCCTGGGTCATTTTAAATGATCCCCCTCCTCCCACCTTGATACCCAAATTCCTTTTTTTACCCCTAGAAATGAGCTACTCCGTGGAGTACAAGAAAGGAATAGTGGAAGACTCTTGGGGCCAAAATCTTACTGCTTTCTGCAAAGACAAGATGTTGAGTATCAGATTGGTCCGAAAATGGCGAGCAGAGTATGGTAACCTCATTGAACAAGTGGACAAAGGAAATGCTAAAAAGTGCAAGTGTGGATCAGGTCGGCAACCATTATTTTCCGAGCTGGAAGACCTGATCTGTGAATGGGTTGTTGACAGGAGAGCAGAGGCTTTGGTTGTGAATAGGGCTCAAATTCAAGAATTTGCCCTTGCAATGGCACCACAGTTTGACATAGCTCCCAAACACTTCAAAGCCTCACAACACTGGCTGGATAATTTCCTTCAGCAAAGTGAACTGTCTCTAAGAAGATCTACAACATTGTTTAGGTTGGAAGATACTCAAGTTATTAAGCGAGCACTTGCATTCAAGTTCTTTATTGATGATGCTGACTTCTCTAAATACAATCTTTCCAACATGATTGCTATGGATGAAACTGCAGTTTATGGGCCAATCATCTCAAACAACAATTGAACAGCGGGGTGCCCCTTAGTGTACATTCCCTCCACTGCTTACGAAAGTGCACGTGCTTCCTGTATTTTGGCAATTCGTCTGGATGGCACTAAAATCCCACCTCTAATCATTTATAAGAGCAAGAAGGAAAAGATTGAACGTGTTTTGGGTGTTTTTATTCTTGAACTGAAAAAGCCTGGGCTACACAAACAGTTATAAGGAAGTGGGTCGATTTAATGCTGCTGCTTGTTATGCAAGGGAGCCAAAGAGGTCTGCTAGTCTGGGATGCAGCCAGCACTCACAACACTAAAGACATGTAGACATTTTTTCACTAAAGAAAAATAGATCAGATAATGATTCCCACAGGAATGATGGCCTATCTCCAGACTCCTAATATTGCAATAAACAAGCCAATTTGTTTATTGCAATAAACAAAGACAATTTGCGCATGGAAATTAATGACTACATTGAAAATAGAATGGAGAGAAATCAGCATGGAAACTTTGTGAAACCTAAACTGCAAGAAGTTGTGATTTGGGTGAAGAATTCATGGGAGAAAATCACTGACAGTTGCATTGCAAATGCACTGCGAGCAGGCTACCTTGACAAGAGTACTCACTTAAAGACAGTGCTATTGCTAAACATGAGAGATTTGGTCCACTGATTCTGAAAGAAATGGACTCACAAGAAATTCACCAGGAAATTCAGGAATTGGATTGTTATGATAATGTTCCAGAAGATGATGACGTGATTGTCACTGAATGAGTAAATTCTTGATACTGTAGGATTCACAGTTTGTCTGGTTTGTGTTGACAACTACCGTACTACCATACCGTACACAGGTAATAAATTTCCTTTATTTTCACTTAACAATAAATGTGCACCATATTCTTCTTCATGGAAAAATAAGACATTCCCTGAAAATAAGACCTAGCGCATCTTTGGGAGCAAAAATTAATATAAGACACTGTCTTATTTTCAGGGAAACAGGGTAGTGCCAGATCCAATCATTCAGTACCCTCAGAGTGTGGGAGTGGCAGTGGCGGGAGTGGGACTGCCAGCAGACAGTGGGAGGGGCGGGGGAGGGGGCATGGAAGGTGGGCTGACTCACCCTTTGCCCACTGCAGCCTCTTGGCCCACAGTTCCTTTCAAGGTGCACAAATTCATGCACTGGGCCCCTAGTGTAGGAATAACACAATGTAAGTAAGCTTTATGTTGTATCTGTGTTATATTTAAGAAGACATATTTCTTTTTTTAATTTGTTGATAGTATTACAGATGTCCCCCAATCCGAGTGTATTTCTTTTTTTTTTTTTAATATATTTTTTATTAATTTTTTACAGAAAGGAAGAGAGAGGGATAGAGAGTTAGAAACATCGATGAGAGAGGAACATTGATCAGCTGCCTCCTGCACACCCCCGCACTGGGGATGTGCCCGCAACCAAGGTACGTGCCCTTGACCGGAATCGAACCGGAACCCTTCAGTCCGCAGGCTGACGCTCTATCCACTGAGCCAAACCGGTTTCGGCCTGAGTGTATTTTTTTATTGTTGCTTTAAAAAATTAAATACTCTTAGGCCCTGGCCAGGTGGCTGAGTTGACTGGAGCGTCATCCTGTACACTGAAAGACGGGTTAGATTCCCAGTCAGCGCACATACACAGCTTTCAGGTTTAATCACTGGTGAAAGTGCATATGGGAAACAATCAATGTTTCTCTCTTTCAAATCAATAAAAACATATCCCCAGATGAAAGTTAAAAAACAAAACAAAACACCTTAAATACTCTTAGATATGCTACTATTCAGAAAGACACGTTGGTTAACAACTCAGGCTGCTCTGAACTCATTTTTGACAGTTATTTCACACATTAAGGAGAAATGATTGCTCAGATTTATAACTCCATAAATGCCTAGTCTCCCTCCTCTTTTGGGTGGGGTGGGGTGAGGAATCCAGCTCCCTACACAGGCTCCTGCATGTCTGAGAGCTGAATGGGTCTTAGGGCCTGCCACTGTCCAGAGAAGAGCTACCATTATGTGGTGCCACAGAGCGTGTGTCATCAGCTATTAACGTGAACCTGCTCTTCCCCCCACTCCTGTTCTGGGTGACAGTGCTCCCCAAAGCCCACCCAACACTTACTGACCCATCAGGGAAAAGCATGAGGCCAGCAAAATATCAACAAATATTCTCTCTCCTGGGAGGTAAATTTAGACATATTTTGTTCAATATCTGTTTCACTACAAACGAGACAAAGAGGGGGAAAAATGCAAGTCCTTCATTTAAATCTATTAGTAAAATGAAGACTCAGAAAGCAGTCAGCTTAGATTTAAACAAATGCCACGTCAACAAAAGGGGACTCAGAGTTGTGAACAAAAGGAAGTTATTCTTTATTCCAGAAATAGACCTTAGCAGGTCACTGGCTTGGTGCTAATTAGAAAGAAGCAGGGCAGGGTGTGGTCACGCATGCTTGTTAAAGCATCTACCCCCCACACCACCACCCCCTGCCCTCCGCATCCACTGAACTGCTTAGGTACTCCAACAACCTCTAAATTGTATTCGGAGTGCAACTTTGTACATCTGTGTGACCAAAAGATGCTGTGGCATCTTCATTATATGATTTTACTGGAAAAGCAATTACACTTTGAGCACCAAAGCAAGAATCCTGTTTCAATCGTCTTAGACCAGTCCCACAAAGAACATTTAGTGCAGGCCCGGTGTGCTGTCCACGGCATTCAGGCTGAATGTACTGGGGTCCCACAGTGTTTGTGCCACAAGTCGATGGCCTTGCTCACAATTGCATCTGAGCTGTCCTGAGGAATCTGTGAACAAGCAAACCAGTTTTCGTGAGGTTTCAGGGCTTATAACTTCAGCTTCTCCCTCTCTCATCGTGCATAAACCTTACTTTCAAAGGAGTTCTCACTGGTTTCCAGAAAGTGATCGCATAGAAGGCTGCTGCTGGGATCTTTGTTTCACAGGCCACCTGAGGACATGCTAGGAACTCAGATGGCCTGGCTCAAACCCTGCACAGCCCACTGAGCTGTGTGCACCTGGGCAGGTTACCTATGCTACGTGGGTTCAGATCCTATCTCTAAAACGGGGCATTCGGTAGGCCCACGCCATAGGGCTGTTACAGGATTTCATACAATAATCCATAAAAAACACTTAACACAGCCCTGGCTCTATTAGCCATTAATTATTATAATGTGAGTAATTTATTCAACACAGATTCATGTAGTACTTATCATTTACCGGACCAGTGTTCAAATGGTAATACTGACTGATAAAAATAAAAGACCAGATTTGGGATCCAATGAAATTCCTCCAGGCATAGTAAGCCTCCTCACTTCTGCCTCTTACCTGGTTAAAGGTATTATGAGATACACAGAGGAAGAAGCTGATTCCTTCAGACCTTTCCCAACACACGCTAAGTTTATACTTAAGCACATTAACAAACCCAACTGGGATTCCACCAGCGACGGTAACAGAAATGAAAGGGCTTACTAAGTCCCCCAAACACCAGGACTCCTCTTCCATTAGCGAGGATGACTCATCCTAAAGTGACAGCTCTCACCCCTCCCTTTCCTCGCGCCCGCCCCCCCCCCACTTCCCCAAGAGCTGCCCCACCGGGCAGAGTGCACACAGTCACAGTGACAGTCTCACTGCTCAAGCCGTCGTCCCCAAAACAGAGGACGCAAACTATAATCCACTGAACAACTGTAAGATACATGGTTTCAAGGGGAAATCTGTTGCTTATAATGTAAAAATATACTGTGTTATTTCCCTGAAATAATTTAATGAGTAGGAAAATCCGGCTTGCTAAACAGACTTCCTTAATGGATTCAAAATGAAATAAAATGAAGCATACTTACATTTTCCAGAAACTTTGTTATCTTCTCTGAATTGTTCAGTGCCATTACTTTTAGTTTAAAGGTTAATAAAATTTCCACTGCTACAAAAACTAGGATCTTGCAGGATCCACTTACAACTTTATCCCAAACCCTACAAAAATGAAGAGATGTACAATCAAATTAGGTGAGGTAAAAATTTGTTTACCTAGACATCTCAAATTACAAAATTAAATCAAATCACTTTTTCAAAGTATAAGCTTCATTATAGAACCATAATGAAATCACCAAAAAAACAACAAAATATATCAGTCATTTGAAAGGAACGGTCACTGAGAGTATTTGCTCTGCTAGGAATCTACCCAATGCCCATTCCCTAATGTAGGGGTGTCGAACTCAATCAGAGAAGGGGCCAAAATCTAAAATCCAGCCTAAATCGCAGGCCGAATGTTTTACTGAACAGTCATAAACTGTCATTGTGATGGAAACGCAGCGGAGTGCAGTGATGACAGCGTGGTGCTGGCCACATTGCAAGGCCTGGCGGGACGGATTTGGCCCGCAGGCCTTGTGTTTGACAAATGTGCCCTAATGCTTCACACTGAGGGCTTCAAGGAGGAAAGGGAATCCTAAACCAAAGCTTAGCTTTTACAGCATTTTGTAATGCTAATATAATCATAGCACATTAAGGAAAAACAAAAGAAGCATATGACATGAGATAAATTCAATTTCATTTTCCAGTGGTTCAAATTCCTTCAACTTCTCCAATGGCGTAAGGAGCTAGTTATTGATCTGCAATCACTCTAAAATAATTACTCTCATAATTCCTACAACTCTTAAAATGGGTACTGCAGTCTATGCTTAGTAGTGAATTGTCCTGTAACGCTCTCTGTGTTCCCTCTCTCCGCAGTTACAGTGTAACTACCACCGTGGAGGGGAAGGGCCAGGCCTCCAAAATAACCCTAACGACATGTCTGAAACCAGAGCTTTCATTAAACTTAGGACACTGTGTTTGAGTCTCAAATCTTGACTGCCTTCAGCCACTTTCACCATGTCATGATGAAACTAAAAGTAGCAACATTTTCTCTTGATTAGGACTCACCACACTCCTGGAAAAGAAAAGGCTGTGCCACTATAAACTCCTGGAGACGTTTCAGATGTAAATCTTATTGAGGACCCTCAATTTTTATAATTGTATACTGTATTCTAATATTTATAATAAATTTGTTACTATTAAATTAAAATTAATATTACTAATATATATATTACAAACAGAATCATGTGTTATTATGTTAGCTACTAGAGAAGTCAGCTTTATATTACTGTGTTGTTCTAGAGTAAATTTATATTGTGAGGGATCACATGAAAACCAGGATTCTTCTCCAACTCCAGCTTCAGTACGTTTGAAAGAAAAACTTGCCTCTGTAAACTGGATTCGGGCAAGCACCCCGCGAAGCACCTCTTGAACCAGAGATCATAAGGCAGCCTGGACACTGCAGAACACATCTTCAGGTGACTCAGCAGCCTGCTGTCCTCCAGATTCAAGTACTGTTCAAAAGCCTTTGGCTGGTGATGAAAAAGGAAGAGATTACTCACTTCCCATGACATAACATTACCCCCTCTTACAGCCTATGAAGAAAAAATGTACATAATGAATGCAAGGAAGTGCTAGGAACCAAAACTTCAGAATTATCTAAGTCGCTGGTGATGCAGCGCTTCCCAAGTCAGCATATCGGGAGCCACTACCCCTCGGACTGAGGGGTTTCCCAGGACAGTCCCAGGCAAGTGAACAGCAGGTCACCCTAATGCTAATTGCCCTACCAGTGGTTGGCAAACTCAGTCAACAGAGCCAAATATCAACAGTACAATGATGGAAATTTCTTTTGAGAGACAAATTTTTTAAAATTAAACTTCTTCTAACGTCACTTCTTCAAAATAGACTCACCCAGGCCGTGCTATTTTGTGGAAGCGCCACACTCAAGAGGCCAAAAAGCCGCAAGTGGCTCGCGAGCCACAGTTTGCTAACCACGGCCCTAACCAGAGTCAACGACCTAAGGCAAAAGTCCAAAGCAAAATTCAATTGTCCTGGGGAGCATAGAAAGGACCCAGATATTCCTGGCTGCTCTAGGAAAAGCGGGAGAAGGAGAGAGAGGACCAGAGAAATAGAAAGGGAATGACGTGGGAGCAAGAACTAGGAAGGATCAGAAAAAAAGCTGGAGGTGAAAAGGCCCATGGGTCACTGACCACACATGTGCTGAGCGCCACTGCGCACCAGCCACCAGGATGTCCAGAGGAGGAGCTCTGTACCCAACAAAACGTGTGTGAGAACTCTGTCATCAGAGGAATACCGCAAGGGAAACAATGCCTGGTAGCCTCTCCCACATAAGGCTGAGCAGCAGCCAACTCTATGGAGAGGCTAACAAAGCCGGCTCCCCGGACCAGGCCCCATCCGCTGGCCCACGCTGCTCTATTTAAGGTCCACTGGCTACAAATGGGCTGAAGGGCTAAACCCTAATGTTTGTACTCCCTATCTAAAAAAGCACAACCTTATCACCAAGTGCATGCAAAGGATTATTGTACTAAACACACGCATCTCTATGCTTCTGCCAAAGAGGTGACTCAAAACCCTGCTGTATCCATTATAACCAGACACTGCTACATCCAGGGAATAAAAGAAAAGATGAGGTCATGTACCTGCCTTCGAGGAGCTTACGGAGCCCAGGAAGCGGTAACTGGAACATACTTAATAAAGCTATGATGGGGATAACCAGACGATGTGGGCACACCCAACTGGGAATCCTGACCCCGGCTTCAGGTGGCCCACAGAATGCACAGGAGCTCACCCAGTGGGCCTGCGTATTAACATCTGGTCCAGTTCTCCCCTCTCTCGTTCAGAGGATCTCTAACCTTTCCTATTTATCTACCTTACCTCTCCTACTTAACATTTCCTAGAGCTTCTCAAGAACACCCCACACAGCTCCCCAAACCAGGAGCTTTTCTTTAAGTACAAATTTCCAGAGGGCTCCTGCTCTAGCCTTTCACCTCTGAAACTCTATTCTAGAATTCTGGTAGGTCCTGCCAGTGACATGTAGGGTTTTTTCCATGAAGTGACGGGTGAAAACACACACACAAACACATTTATATATTACACCTCACAGCAAAGAAAATTTCTTCCAAAAGGCAATACAAATAACAAACAAAAATATAGATTAATAAAGATCTAAAACTATTTATTGTCTTTTTCCTTATCAGACTATAAGCTCATTGAGGGCAGGGGCTGTCTCTGTTTTGCTCACTAGCAAAGTAACATATGCATTACCCTTTGATCAGTCAATCCATTTCTAGGGAATCTATCCCAAAAATATACTGGCAGATATATGAGAAGATGTACACACAAAACTATATTATCTATAACAGCAGTCACCAACCTTCCAGACCTCATGGACCACCGTAGTCCCAGACTGCAGGTTGCCAAACAATGATCTATAACATGGTATCATAGTAAAAGACAGGGAACATCCCAAATAGCCAATATTAGAGAATGGGTTGAATAAACAAGCATATATACACACAATGGAGTAGTATGCAGCCATGAAAAGGAATAAGGAATGTCTCTATACTATTATGGCAGGATTTCCTGTATATATCAAGTGAAAACAGCAAGATGAAAATGGTAACATGCACTACTGCTAATTCTAAGAGGGTGAACAGAAATTATATATCTGTATGCTTTTTAGTGGAAGGAGATAACATTTATATTATCTGAAATTTTAGTACTTAGCAAATGGTAGGTGTGATTATTATATTTTACATATAATAGGTTTAGGTTATTTACAATGTTTCTTTGACCCTAAATTCTTAGGTTATGGAGAAAATAAAGCATACCTCATCAATAGAAAGCAAAACTTGACCAAACAGAGACTTAACTACCCTGAGAGGGATTTATATTAAACTTAGATACCTACCCACCCATCTACCCAACCATCCATTCATCCAGCGTTTTTCAACCGCTGTTCCGCGGCACACTAGTGTGCCGCGAGATGTTGCCTGGTGTGCCGTAGGTGCAGACAAGACAAGAATTTTATAATTTTTCACTATTTTGTTTACTTAATATTTCATAATAAAGTAATTATAAAATACTTTCTTTGTGTTTATTTGATTCCTATTCAAGAGAATTACTTTATATATAGTCAATATAGGCACAGAGTTAAATTTTTTAACATTTTCTAATGGTGGTGTGCCTCGTGATTTTTTTCATGAAACAAGTGTGCCTTTGCCCAAAAAAGGTTGAAAAACACTGCATTCATCCACTCACTCATTCATCTGTTCATCTAGCAGCTACTCAGTGAGCCTCTACTGTATGCGTAGGGCCCATGCCAGACACTTGGGTTGCAGCACAAGCTAAGACAGTTTTCCCACTTTCATCTGTGTGTGAATTCTTATAATATAAATGTGGAGACATAAAGCATTAAAGCAAGTCAAAGGTTTCAGTGAACAAGTTTCAGCAGTTCAACTTTATAATGATGTAAGCAAACCTGTCAAATTTTTTTGCACAATGCCAGCATTTGGATTTAAAAAAAAAAAAAAGTAAATTTCTTACTGAGGGCAACTAAAAAAAACAGCTTTTTTAATCTTGAGGTTAGAAAGAGCTTCCTAAATAAGATACAAATAAACAAGAGAAAAATATTGACAAATCCAATTGTATCAAAACTTAAAATCTTTGTGCAACAGTCAGTGACAAAATATTTTCAACACGTGTAACAGACAAAGGATAAACATCCAGAGTTATCGTTGACTCTTACAAAGGAAAAAGGACCCAAACAATGTAATAAAAAAGGTAGATAAAAATGACCAGTAGATATTTAAAGCTGCTCAACTTCACTAGAAAATGAAGATATGCAAATTAAAATGGGTACCATTTCACTATCGGATTAACAAAAATTTAAAAGACAGATAATATCAAGTACTGTCAATGGAGTGGAAAACAGGAAATCTCATAATCTCTTGGAGAAAGCAAAATTGGTCTGGTGAGCAACCTGGCAGTTAAAATTTTAAATGTACGCCGGGACTGGTTTGGCTCAATGGACAGAGTGTCGGCTTGGGGACTGAAGGGTCCTAGGTTCGATTCCGGTCAAGGGCATGTACCTTGGTTGCGGGCATATCCCCAGTAGGGGGTGTGCAAGAGGCAGCTGATCAATGACTCTCTCTCATTGATGTTTCTAACTCTCTATCTCCCCTCCCTTCCTCTCTGTATAAAATCAATAAAATATATTTTAAAAAATAAATAAATAAAATAAAATAAAATAAAATTTTAAATGTGTCTCTCCTTCAAATGCACGCTCCCTTTATAGGTAACCCATCCTAGAGAAACACGCACAGACTTACACAAAGGAACATGGACAAGGGCATGTTGAAGGTCAGCATGGACCTCTTATGATAAATTATGGCAAATTCTTAACAAGAAATACTAGAAGGAAATAAAAAAAAACACTGGTTAAAAATGAGTAGCTCTCAACCTGAGCCAAACTTCAGAATCACCTGGAGTTTTTGAAAAATTACAATTCTGGGGCCCCACCCCCATAGATTCTGGCTTAATTGGTCTGCATAGAGGAAATTTTTAAAAGCTCCCATACGGTACTAATAGGAATTCAGAGCTGAAAACTGCTGATCTATCTGTACTAACTTGGAAAGCATCTAAGACATTAAATTAAAAATAAAGAGCAGGGCCTTGGCCTACATGTGGCTGAGTTGGATGAGCATCATCCCAGGCACCAAGAGATCGCAGGTTCAATTATCTGTCAGGGCACATGCCTGGGCTGGGGCCTCGATCCCCAGTAGGGGGCATTCAGGAGACAGCTGACATGTTACCCTCTCACATCAATGTTTCTCTCTCTCTCTTTCCCTTCCTCTGTTGCTAAAAATCAATAAAAACATTATTTAAATAAATAAATTGCAGGGTTATATGAGCAGTGTGTAATATTTATGTTTTTACAAATATTTATATATGTAAAAATATATATCACGTGTGTATATGCACACGTGCACACATACACACATCCATCCTAATATACATAAAATAGTGTAGAAGCATTCACATAAAACTGATAACAGGGTTTTCTTCTTAGAAAATGGGGGATGAGGAGGTAGTGTGTCACACATCTATGGGAACACAGGATTCATATGGATTGTTTAATACCTCAAGAATATATTTGTCTGTTACTTATGTTATCAAAAATAAAGATGAATTTTTAAAAATAACCTTTCAAAATGTTACTGAATTTATTCCAATAATAAGAAGGCTAATTAAATCATAGAATAACTTAGACATCTTGATTTAATGAGGCAACATTATATTTACAGATGCTCCAATGCCATGCTTAAATTATTTTCATTGTAATAAACTAAATGAATTAAATTTTAAGATTCTAAAAATCATATTTGACTTAATTTAAACATTTAAAACCCTCTCTGGTACACTGCTCTTCAAAGCTGAAGGCGTGGCCGGCTGCCCGGCTGACTGACTCAGTTGGAGCAGTGAGCCACAGGGCTCATCCGAGGTGCCCCTCCTCAGCCCTGCAACCCAAGTCTCAGTGGCTGCTTCAACAGAACTTTCAAATAAAACAACTCAATTAAAAAAAAAAAAAAAAAAAAAAAAGACAGATTAATTTTTATAATGAGAGAAATAAGGAAAGAAAAGACAAAGAGAATGGCAAAGACCCACTGGCTTATGCGGATGAAGTAAATGCCATTCGGTTCTCTGGATTCCCAAGTGAGAGTACAGCAGACAGAATCCTGTGTTAATGGGAGGTCCCAGTGTGTCCGGTTAAATAAAAGCACATTTCCCAGCCTCCGCAGCAGACAGGGACGGACAACACCGTCCTCCACTGACTGCCATGCTGCAGGAAAGTCTGTTACAGAAGGACGGGCCTGACTGCCTTGCCCCTTGTGTTCCTGTGCTTTTTTCTTCGACTTGCCCCTGTTGCCTGTCTACATGTCAGCACTGTGTCTCTATGGCATCCACCTGGTGAGCCCAAGAGGAAGGATCACACCTGAGCACGCTGCAGCAGGCAGAAGCCTGGGTCCCTGCTGAGACCGTGGTGCTGGGGCTCCAGCTCTGAACGGCTTTGCCTCTGTACTTCTAGTTACAGGAAAGAAAACATAAGGCTTCTGTTTTGGGGTCTGCCTATCATGTGCAGCCAAACTTAAACCTTACCTCATATAGAGGGAAAAATCTAGATAAAGCCAGTGGATTTTAGACCAGCAAAAGGAATACTATAGAGCAGAAATGGGCAAACTGTGACCTGAAGCAGCCAAATCCAGCCGTGACCTTTCCTTTATGTGGTGTCCACGGCTGCTTCTGTGTGACAACAGCAGAGCTGAATGACTGCAATAGAGACACAGAGACCACCTTGCTCACCAAGCTGGAAAGCATTACTACCTGGCCTTTTACATAAAACACGTGCTGACTCCTACTAGAGGGGGTCTACTCCCAATTGTAGCAGCACCAAGAGATTAGAGTATTTCCCTAAGATTCCCAGTACCACTGCTCACCCCCCTCCTCTCTCTTCCCCTCCCCTGCCCTCCCCTTCCCACCAACAGCCAAAAAAGCATCCCTCACCAGCTGGGGTAGGGAGTCCCGGTACTTGTTCAACTGGTTCACAAAGCATCGGGTGATCCAATAACAGTCGACACTATCTTCCACCATCTCTTCCATGGCCTTAGCAATGGCAAGAAACACTTCATCTTCTGGCTTCTGAAAGATTAATAATAAATCTCAAGAGGGAGGGAGCAGAGAGGAATAAATATTTTTTTAAAGATTATGTGTATTTATTTATTTTAATATATTTTATTGATTTTTCACAGAGAGGAAGGGAAAGAGATAGCCAGAAACATCGATGAGAGAGAAACATAGATCAGCTGCCTCCTGCACACCCCCCACTGGTGATGTGCCCGCAACCAATGTATATGCCCTTGACCGGAATCGAACCTGGGACTTTTCAGTCTGCAGACCGACTCTCTATCCACTGAGCCAAACCGGTTTCAGCAATATTTTTTGATAAAAATAAAAATTTACCCCCTAAACTTTGAAGAGGCTGCATTAACAAGTCAAAATGGAAAAAGCACCCAGTCCTTCACTAAGGAGAGGAGCACCGAGGTGAGAATGAACCACCACAGAAATCTATGGAAACGCGTGCTAGTGATGAGTGCCCAGACTGGGGCTGCACTCGGAGGTTTTCCAGCTTCCAATGCCAAGGTGCCCATAAAAGCATCCATCAGCACATGCCAGAAGGTGCTGATTCTCTCCACCCAAAAACATTCTCGGTGCTGAGGAGCATTTCTTTCAAAACCATGTGCTACACAGCACACATAATAACTGGAGACATTTGCCAATAATGCAATTTCCAAAACTAACTGGCTTGGAAAGGACGAAGAAAGCTTTTTCTTTATTTCAAAGTGTTCATATAGACCTTTACAACTTTGTTCTATCTTTAAGCACCTAAACCATTAAATGTCCCTCGAATCAGCATGCTAGGATTCAGAAGAATGGTATTTCTCAAACTTTCGTGTCAAGACTCAGAACATGAAAGTAAACCCTCAAGGAAACTTCAACAAAGAAATCTTATAAAAGGTGAAATCTGTTGAAAACCTGTCAAAATTTTGTTTCCAAACGCCATATCTTACATGAAAATACATTTTCACCTAGGATTTAAGAGCTCAGTGATTTTAATGTTAAAAAAGAAACTAAAAGTATCTTTCTATTCTCCTAAGAAGTTCCAAGTTAAATCAAAATTCTTATTCTAATAAAAATACTTAATTTTAGGCCTTCTTTCAACCTATTAATAGTCTATAAAATGTCAAGTTAACAGAACTGTAGAAAATGCATTTTTCTAAACATTAACTAGCTTGTCAGAGGAAGAAAAGGGAGGAAGCCCCTTTCTTGGACTAGCACTGTGCACTGGGCACAGGGCTTGGTGCTCCTGACTGTGGCCAGGGAAGAGGACCGACATTCTGACTGACGTGCTACCGGCCCTGTGCCAAGCAGGGAATGTCACACATTCCCATTAATGGGTAAAGAAAATGAGGCTGAGGGGGGCTTGGTGACCAGGGAAACGTGGCAAAGAGCCCAACACAAACACTCACAGGACATCTGCCCAAGATGCAGTAACGGTGTCTGGGCTTGAAGAATGGACATGCCGAGCAGGGAGGAGGTGACAACCATAACCTATCATTCTTTTTTTTTTTTTTTTAAGAAAAACGATTTTAAATATAATACTGTTACATGCAATAAAAATATTCAAGAAAAAAATTATTATATTACCAAAACTGTACTAACATAGTATAATATTAACCTATCATTCTTGAACTAATAAATAATCTAAGCTACTCTGACATATATTTTAAGAACTTGTGCAGTACTACCAACTTCACTTTGCCGAAGATAAGCAAAATTTAAAGAAACGTGTTAAGAGTTTATTTCCAATTATTTCCAGGGTCATTCTCTTGATATACTTAATAAAGATGGTGATCTATGGGCAGCCATGGGAACTATTAACTTCAGAAAAGAAAGAACAATTCAAAGCTCAAACCACTATAGTGGCAGCTTGCAATCTGCATGCAATAAAAGAATAAATTTTATAGATGGTACAGCTTGCAGGCAAGTCCCTATTTTGAACAATTCATCCCCCAAATTGTTAAAGTGCCTAAAATAAATTGCAAATTGCATTAAAATAGCCAAAGCTCAAGACCTATAATCATTCCTTTGCCTGAACTCTTCCTCCTCCCCATCTCTTCCCTTTTCAGACAAGTAGTCCAAGTAACTAGAGTAAGGAGTTTATCAAAGATGAAGTTTACCAAGCAGGTTGGAGCCTGTGGAGCTGAGGCCGAGGAGTGTCAGGGCCAAGAGGTGGCTGGCAGAGTCGGTTACAGAGGAATAAGCAAAGAAGTAAGTACACTGAGGGTATTTGCAACTGTCAGAGGAAGAATTTATAAGACAGAAAGGGTAAGGGCAAGAATAAACTTTATAATGGGTTGTATTTGGAAGTATTAGTATGAACTCAAGGTTTTCAATATATTGAGATAAATACATACATACACAGGTTTGTGAGTATGTGACTGTGACTGTGTGTGTACACATACATTTCCTTGCACCTGCTGAGAGAGCCTAGAAGCAATGATACACTACGAACAATGAATGAGTATATCTAGTGCCCTATTTCTTATTTCTAAATGCCAAACTCCATTGGGGGGGGGGGGGGGGGTGAAGGGAAGGAGGGGGAGTGGCAGATTCCAGGTCCAACACAGGGAAAGCACAAGATGAACCTGGAATATATTTTTGTACCAGAAAGTAAGAAAATGCTCAAAATAATGGGGACTTGTCAAAAAGACATAAAAGTATACTGATATAAATAAACAAACGAGGGAGGGGGGGGAAACCTTCCTTATAAATGCAAAAGGAATAAAAGAGTCAGAGAATCACTATTTGGCAATCAGCAAAATTCATTATCAGTTAGATATTAACATAGTATGAAACTTTCTCCCCAGAAGTTACTTGTTAATCATAATAGGAAAAATAGTAGCTTTACATTGAAGAAAGCTGGCAGACACCACCTTAACCAAGTGATCAAAGTTAGCAGCAACAGTACTAAGTATCATACTCCTGCCAAAAATGCAAAACCAGATTTTAATCATGAGGAAACCTCAGACAAACCCAAACTGAGCAATGCTCTACTGCCCAGTACTCTTAAAAAATGTCAAGGTTCTGAAAGTTCATACAAAGAAAGACAGAGGAACTGTCCCAACAGGATCCAGGGCCAGAAGGAGGACATCAGTGGGACAATCAGCACAATGTCAGTAATATCACCAAGGAGTTCACAGTGTTGTGTCAATGCTAATTTTCTGGTTTTGATAATTATGCTACAGTATGTGAAATGTAACATTTGAGGTGATAGATGAAGGTATATGGGAACACTAGACTATTTTTGCAACTTTTTTCTATGTTTAAAATGATTTCTAAATGAATAGTTAAAACATTAAGAATTTTGGAATCAACAAATCAAAATTAGTGGGTAAAAGTTTGATGGAAAGTTTGAAAAGGTTCTGAATTAAAACTTTTACTGTTTGTTTTAATAAAGGGCATTACTGGAACACTAGGTCAAATGTTAATGAAGTATGAAGATTAGTCAACTTCTTGGTTAGCTAGGGGAATGTTCTTATCTTTAGGAAATATACACTGAAGGAATCTGAAGTAATGCAATATCATGTCTGCATCTTATTCTCAAACTAAAGGCCCAGTGCATGAATTCATGTACGGGTGAGGTCTGGCTGGCCTGCCCCAATTGGGGTGGAGGGTGGAGGGTAGGGGCTGATCAGGGGTGAGGCAGGCCACAGGAGAGGCTGCAGTTACCCCCCCCCCCTTGTTGAACTCCCGGTTAACCTTGCAGTTGAAGGGACAATTTGCATATTAGCCTTTTATTATACAGGATGGTTTCAAAAAAATATCCTATATAATAAAAGGCTAATATGCAGGTCAACCAAGCAGCAGAACAACAACAACTATGGCACACACTGACCACCAGGGGGCAGACGCTCAACACAGGAGCTACCCCCTGGTCATCAGTGCGCTCCCACAAGGGGACTGCACTCGGCCAGAAGCCCTGAGCCAGCTCACAGCTGGTGAGCACAGCAGTGGTGGTGGGAGCCTCTCGCATCTCTGCAGCAGCGCTGAGGATGTCAGACTGCCGACTTACAGACTGCTGACTGCCATAAGGAGCGGGCCTAAGTCGGCAGTCTGACATCCCCCAGGGGCTCCTGGACTGCACTGGGCCTCTAGTGTATACATATATAGGAAAAATGACAAAGCATTTGTTCAAAATTATAGATAACTGGGAAACATGGGTAAAGAGTATATAAGAATTCTTGACAGTATTCTTGCAACTTTTCTATAAATTTGAAATTACTTCAAAATAAAATGTAGTATTTGAAATATTTAGGCAGATGAGGTCAGATGAATGTTGGGGAAAGATGTGTTACTTTTATTCTATAGACAAAGGAGAACCATTGAAAGTTTCTAAGGCAAAACATGATGCAATCAAAGGCTAGAAAGATGCGACAGTGTATAGTTGAGCTAAGTGTCAAACAAAAGTATCACTAACCAGGGGGAAGGAGGGATTTCGAGGCAATTTTCCAGACTCCAGCTGATACATGCGGAGATAGACTTCAACCTGAGGTGTGGCATCATTGACAAAACGAACGACTTTCAGGGCATGAAGGACATCCGAGTACTGCTCTTTACGATACATCATCACCTGGGCGTGGGACTCATGGTGTGGAGGCAGAATCCCTATACAGAGACCCAGAAAAATAAAGGACAAAATACTGAGACACCAATCCAAATCCCTCCTCCATTAAAGAGAATCCTGGAAGAAGTCGCCCATCAAAATTAAACTAAAGCTCACACAATATTTACCATATAGATTCTCTATTAGAAATTTTCACTATAAAGAAATTTTAAATAACCTCAATATTTGAATGGCAACTGTATCACTGATATAAAAGAGAAATGAAATGGCATCATAAAGCCCTTGAATAAGCATGTCATCAAATTCAAGATAATAACCATATCAATGATAATGATTTAATTCAATTATGGCTGCCAGCCTGGGGCCACCCTGAGCTCCTGGAGGCCCATGTCCAGTTTTCCCACTTGGCCCATGCTATGGACTGGTTTGTGTCCCCTCAAATTCATATGTGAAAGCCCTAATCCCCAAGGTGACTATATTTGGAATTAGGGCCTATAAGAAGATAAAGTTAAATGAGGTTACAAGGGTAGAGCCCTAATCCAATAGGGCTGGTGCCTTCAAAGAAAAGAAAGAAATACCAGAGTATTCTTATCTGTCATGTGAAGACACAGTGACGTGGGGTGAAAGTTTCTCCCCAGTGTTCCATGTCACAGGTGGCCATCGGAAGTCAGAAAGTGAGGCTTCACCAGGAATCAAATCAGCTAGCATGTTGATCTTGGACTTCCCAGACTCCAAAACCATGGGAATATAAATTGTTTAAGCCACCCAGTCTGTAGTATTCTGTTATGGCAGCACTAGCTGACAATATAGCCCCCTTCATCTCAGAACCACCAATTACCCATCAAATCCTTCTCTCCCCAATTCCTCTTGGATTGTAAGAGGAATGTCCGACCGGGCCTACACCGGCAGTCGGACATCTCCCAAGGGTTCCGGATTGGAGGGTGCAGGCTGGGCGAAGGAGACCCCCACTCTGTGCATGAATTTCGTGTACCAGACCTCTAGTTTATATACATAAAGCACTTGGAAAGTACACAGTTGTTGTGATGAATAAAAAAGCTATATACATAAAGCACTTAGAAAGTACTTCTAACTATAGATCACTCTTTGGTACAAAATGCCACTCATCCAATATTCTAAAGAACACTCTGGGAAACAAAAGTTGGATGAGCTTTAAGGACTCTAGCTAACATGATGCTATGTAATGCTACAACCAAACTTGCTTAAATGTTCTTTTTTCCTGACATAAATCTTTATTTACCTTAGCTATCAGGCTCTGTGCCAGGCTTCCAGAAAAACCAGAAAAATACACTGAAATGTCCTCCAAATTTAGACTAATATAGTACAGATTTAATTATAGGTGTAATTAAATTCTTATCATACTACTAGAGGAAGCACAATGTTCCATGTCAAACCTCACATTTGTTTTCTAAGACTTAGTCCTAGAAGTCTTTTTCTGATATTTATCTAAAACAATATCATGAAGTGGGCACACAAGGTCCCTGAGTAATCCACAGCCTATGTAGGAAGAGTCAGCCTGTCTCTTACTCAGCGTGGCAGCCCTAAACCTCCAGTGCCTCTCCCGCAAAAATAACAACAAAGATTTACCTGAGAAAGACAGGTGGGGAAACACAGGTGAGGAATAAGCCAGATAGCCTGGCCCTCGGGAAGTGTCACAAAGTACAACTGTGCCTCTCCCATTAATCCACTGGCATTATTAGTTAATAGGACACATAGTATTTCCCAACAGAAATAGGTAATATCGGCAATGCCACCTAAAAAGCAGCCTTATTTGGATGACTATTGGAAACATTAAGAAAAATGCTGGGAGGGGAGGAGGAACTAAAATAACTGTCATTAATTTTCTAGATTTCAACTACACAGTGACCTACTAGAAATACAAGTACAAAGATGCATAACCAAAGTCATTATGCAGTGCTTTCTGAAATGGTTTGTAGTCAGACTTAGGACTAAGAATTGCTAAGGCCAAAAATACAGTATATTTTGTAAAGACAAGGTCTGTAATCTATCCTACCTTCAAATGGGCTCTACACACCTGAGTTCAAAACCTAGCCTTGCCACTGACAGGCTATAAGGCCTTAGACTAGTTATTTAGCCTCACCATCTTTTTCCCCATGTGCAAAATCAGGATGTTGATACTTAACTCACAGGGAAATTCTAGGATTACTCTAATTTTTAAAAAATATATTTTATTGATTTTTTTTTTACAGAGAGGAAGAGAGAGGGATAGAGAGTTAGAAACATCGATGAGAGAGAATCATCGACCAGCTGCCTCTTGCACACCCCCCACTGGGGATGTGCCCGCAACAAAGGTACATGTCCTTGACCGGAATCAAACCCAGGATGCTATCCACTGAGCCAAACTGGTTTCAGCAGTCTAATTTTTTTTTTTAAAGAATAGTCCGCTGATTTAGAGAGAGGGAGGAACATCGATGTGAGAGTGTGACAATGATTACTTGCCTCCCGCACACCCTGAACTGAGGATCCAGCCCGAAACCCAAACATGTGCCCTGGCTAGGAATCAAACCTGCAACCTCCCGGTGCATAGGACAACACCTAACCAACTGAGCCACACAGGGCAGGGCAATTTTTAAAATTTTTTTTTAAGAAAGAAAAGGAGGGTGGTATATATTCAGCAGGCTCAGCAATTAAAGAAAGAAAAAAAGACCTTGGCTAAAAGGGATAACGTCAGTCACTTGTGGAACCTGATATATTTTTCTTCCACAGAAACTGAGCAAGGTCCCTTTTCCTTCTTTAGCCATTCACCACTGGAATTGAATTCATTTGGGCTTCTAATGAGTACACATCTGTGGCTAGGAATCACAGGAAAGACGAATTGAGAGCTAAAACCGAAAAGTCAATTTAGCAAAAAATGAGGCCTAGCTAAGTCTTTCTCAAGGTTACCCAGTTGACAGCAAAGGCCAGACCAGTTATTTCTCCCAGTACAATGCTCTCCCCACACCTTGTCTCGGGAAAATACTTTACTTTCCCTTCTATCATTAATAAACTAACCTTCAGGAGTAATATTTAATGTTTTCCCACTGAAGCCACCTCCTAAAGGTAATCATAGTGAGCAGGATCTCAGTCTCCTGAGATTGGGCCCAATATTCAGTAACTCTTCCTTTTTCTGACTGATACAATGACAAATGAACATTTTTGAAGATAAATTTCCAACTCTTGGTCTCATACCTAGAAGCACCTTCCACACCAATGCACGGTACATGGACGGGAGAGGAAACCTTTGACTAAAAGTACAAAGTTTCTCAATATCTAAAGGAGGAAAAAACACAATAGTTAGAAGCTTTCTGTGCATTTCATTGTTTACAAGTTGAAGTACTGTAAGAAAGAGGTTCCACCAACTGTCTTACTATACTTTGTTTTCAGTTATTTAAAAACAATTAGTGTTTGACAGCAAAATTATTAGTAATAATTTTGCATATATTACTACATTTACAATAACATTAGCAGTAGTTACTATTTATAGAATTTATTTCATTTAATTCACCTTGCAAGCTGGTTGGCTAGTTCTTGTTTTAAAGATGCAAAAGCTGAAGCTTAAAGCAGTTAAGCCACTTGGCTGAGTTAGCAGCAAGTGAGTGGCATAGTCAGCCCTCAAATCCCACATTTTCCCGGAAAGCATACTCATCTGGTCCCGGATCTCAATTCCCCTGCCTGTCAAATGAGAATGACAATACCAGACATGCTTAAGGCACAGACTGTCTAGCCTGATCAAAGATCAGGTGGGAAATGTTTTTTGAAACTTTAAAAGCACTATTCAAGTAAAGTACTATTTTTAACTATGGTTCAGTTTATTTTACTTTAGTCAACCACAGAACAGACCTTATTATTACTGGCCTAGAAGAAACAAAAATGTTAATACATAATACAGTCTCAGTATTTCCATAAAGAAAAATCATGGCAAGAGTTGTTGTAAATTACCCAGAAGCTATGATGATACCTCTGAAAATTGAGAAAAAAAAATATGTGGGTCTAATATGAGAATAAAATATTGACTTCTTAAGAGGCCTTTCAAAACCATCTAATTCTGTCTCAATAGAAATTTAAACTTGAAAAATCCACAACTTCTCTACACACACACACACACACACACACACACACCATTCTGTGGTCATCCTATCATTAAAAAATACATCAAGTAACAAATATCTCTTCAGGTAACAGTTATTTCAGAATATTTGGGAGGACTGAGAAGTAGTAGGCTTAATTTTACTTATAAACTCACCCAAACGGTCATCTTTTAGGAGAATTTCTAATGATTTCTTTTCTTCAACTCCACGAAAACCCACTTTCTCATAATATACTGAACGAAAGTTTCTCTGAGAATCCTCAGTCATGTTTCATTCCTGGAGAAGAGGGGAGGGAGTTTAGAAACAAAGAACGAAGAATTAAAACTTTTCAGTGATTTTCTCCAACTTTTCAGTGAATCTGATATTACAAACTGTCTGTCTTTGCATGGGACTCAATATTAAATCTTTCCTTTCACACAACTCTACCACCACCTCACCTATGCACCTGGCCAAAAACCAAGACATAAAACGAGCATCCTGAGTTGCTAAAATATAATAGATGGCACAAGGCTCAAGGCCTAGGGATGCTATTTTACTTATGAGAGCACCTAGCCATACCACATGTTCAAAAAAAAAAAAAATGAAATAGGAAGACAAGATGTCACACAAAAGATGTTACCAAACATATACACTATGATTCTGTTGTTTTATAAAACTATGCACTAAAAAATTAGACTATATTCTGAAATGTTAGCAATGGTTATCTTTAGGTAGTGGAATTCCAGATGATTTTAAATTTTCTTTTGCTTAGCTGTGTTTTCTAAAATGGGCATTTTGTAAAATGAAAAACTAAGCAATAAAAAGCTGCAAATCCCTCACTTAGTTTTTCTTTAAATGCCATTCTACCAAAGGTAATTATCAAAATTCAAAACCCATAAAGCTTAACACCATTAAATGATAAACCTGAAGAGGGGCAAGAATGTAGCTGGTTGATAAAGAGATGGCATTAAGTTGGAGATAGAACAACAATTTATGATCTGCCTTCAGAACTCAAAAAGTTTAATAGTCTTAGGTTCTTTCACAATAACCTTCCTAGGATTGATGGCAAGTCATCAGGAAAAGGTCAAATTAGGTTGCTGTTTAAGAATATAGTGGATGCAATGCATTTTCCATAGAAGTTATTGTACTGCTCAACCCAAATGCTTCAAATGCGAGTGCAAACAAAAACATAAAGAATCCTCAGGTTTCAGAAATTCTGGCACAGGAGGGTTGAGTTCCACACAGCCAAGGTCTTCCTTATAAAAAAGATATGCTGAGTCAATGCAATCACAGGAAAGATTAGGATTTGCTTAAAATGAGAAATTCTAGAAGGTTCCTACCTTTGGGGAGCAAATGCTCTTTTAAGGACAAAATGTCAAAGCATTAAAACCCTACTTGAATTTGGAGGTTTATTTAAAAGAAGCATCCAAATAGCTACACGGCGATAGGTGTCTGTGGTCTAGAGAAACCAGGCTCCGGCTGCACCACAGCAGGGGCGTCCAGGAGGAAATGCTGCAAATCGCATTCCAGCCCTGGACCGTGCAGCTGGCGGGAGCATAAACACCTGGCCTCGGACCCCATCCCATCTCTCTGGCGCTTCACCTCCAGCGGTGGAAACCCGGGCTGAGACCAGGTGGCCCGGGGGAGGCCGCGGAAAGCAGGCCGGGGACGCTGACCGGCGGGCGGGCAGGCGGGCAGGCGACGAGGGGGCGGCCTGGGGACTCGAGCGGCACGAGCGGGCCCGCGGGGCGGAGGGAAACGGCGGGGTATCAGCGTCCGGCGCGGCCCAACCAGGAAACACCCGCCGCTGCCGCCGACTCCGCCCTCGGCGGACGTGACGTCACTCAGCCCGCCCTTCGGTGCCGAGAGTGCGCGTGCGCGGAGAGCGTGCGCAGAAGCTGCGGCCATACTGCGCGGGGTTCTGAGGCGCCCAGCGCCGGGCACGGGGGAGAGCGGCGGTGGCCAGTGTTCCCGGGCGCAAACTCCGGCCCCTCCTCCCCGCGCCCACTCCTCACCGAGGACCCCTCTGTCCCGGCGGGGCGTGCCCGGTGCTCTCCCCTCCCTCGCCCTCCAGGTCCCTGCCCGGAGGCGCCCGCCGCGCCGCAGGACGGTTCTCATGGAGCTAAGCTGCCTGTGGGGGACCCGATTGGTTTTGTTTTTGATTTTTCTTAACTTTTTTTTTCATGGTATGTGGAAATAAATGATGACCAACCCCAAGTGCAAAGCCACTTTATTCAGAGTTTGCTATCCCGTCGCTTGCATTTTGGCAGAGACCGAAAGGCTGGCAGAGGCGTGGGAGGTGTTGGCAGTGGGAAGAAGGGAAGAAGCGCCTGGCGAGCCTGGCCCAGTGGCTGAGCTTGGACCAGTGAACCAGGAGGTCACGGTTCGAGTCCCCGTCAGGGCACACGTTTGGCTTGTGAGCCCCATCCCCAGTGGGGGGCCTGCAGGAGGCAGCTGATGGATGATTCTCTGTCATCATTGATGTTTCTCTCTCACCCTCTTCCTTCCTTTCTGAAAACAATAGAAATGTATTTTTAAAAAGGAAGAAGGGAAGGCTTCAGGTGTGCCTTCAGTGGAGGCTGTGGCCCTGGGGAAGCTGTAGGTAGACCTGTTGGAGGCAGGGCAGCCTATGCCATTGGCTAGCCATGTCTGGCTTTCTCTGGTTGGTTCTAAACTGGAAGCTGGGACAACAATTAGGGCAGCTGAGAGTTACTAATCTTGCTCTGGTCGTTTGGGGCCACCTGCCAGAGAAGTTACTGTTTAGCTTCCTGGGTTGGTACTAAAGCTGGCAATCTGGCTTTCCGAAAGTTGAAGGCTGCCTTCTCAGGCTGATTATCATAGATAAGAGGTGGTTTTCTGGGCAGGCTGCTGCTTCAGGCTGTGGGTCAGAGTTCTGTACATTCAGTCTCTCAAGTAAGACACTATAAAAATAAATTATATGAATAATGAAATTTAAAAATGCAATATACTAAATATAAGCCCAAATTTATTGGCTTCAGCAGACATAAAATTACTCTTTAACATGGCTATTAAAGTTTAGAAATACTTTCAATTTTTTTTTTTCTTACCTTGTTACCAACTAGCACTAGTTCTGAAACATTCCTCTGAACAGCACTGCCTGAATGGGTTTTTAAACCACTGAGATTTAAGAGAAATCCCCTAGAGCCGTGGTTGGCAAACTGCGGCTAGCGAGCCACATGCGGCTCTTTGGCCCCTTGAGTGTGGCTCTTCCACAAAATACCATGGCCTGGGTGAGTCTATTTTGAAGAAGTGGCATTAGAAGAAGTTTAAGTTAAAAAAAATTGAGCTCTCAAAAGAAAATTCAATCATTGTATTATACTGTTAATATTTGGCTCTGTTGACTAATGAGTTTGCTGACCACTGCCCTAGAGAAAAATGATGGATGCTGCCCAAACATGTACAGATCAGACCATACAGAGGCAAGGCTCTGGAGAGAAACTTAGAAATCAACAGTACAGAAAGTCAGTCCAGTTACCTAATGTTGGCAAGTTTGTGGTGTAATGGCTAGACGAAACTTGAAAATAAAGAAGTGGCTGAACTCAAACATCATGCCCCTCGAAGTTTCCCTTCCATCACCTTCTTTAGTTCCCCGGCACTAGGGCACTAAGCCTCCGGCTGTGTTTCTTCACATGTGGAAGTGGAGCTCTTTAAGTTACAGCTTTTACAAATTCCATGTTCTTAATCCACACCTCAGACCAGTCAAAAAATGTTACTACTTCCTTTTTCTTGTCTTTAAAACAAAGCTAGTAGGGGTGACAGTACCATAGAGGTACTGGAAAGACTAAATAAGATTTGCAAAGCACTTGGCACAGTGAGGATATCTGAATTCACTGCTGTAAGCTAAATTGTAACAGAATATGGTTGCTTTTAACTGAAATTCTGCTTTTTTAAAATTTATTGGGGTGACATTGGTAAATAAAATTGTATAAGTTTTAGATGTATAATTCTGTAATACATCATCTGTATATTGTATTGTGTTCACCACCCCAAGACAAATCTCCTCTCATCAGCATTTATCCTCCCTTTACTCTCCTACCTCTCCCCCCACTCTCTCCCTCTGGTAATCCATACTGTTGTCTGTCTATGAATTTTTTTTTTTGGCTTAATCCTTAAACCGTTTTCACCCAGCCCTGCAACTCCCCTCACATCTGACAGCTATCAGTCTGTTCTCTGTAAGTCTGTCTCTATTTTGTTTGTTAATTTATTTTTTTCATTAGATTCCACATATTAGTGAAATAATATGGTACTTGTCCTTCTCTGACTGGTTTATATCATTAGCATAATATTCTCCAGACCCATCCATGCTATTGCAAAAGGTAATATTTCCTTTTTTTACAGCCTAGTTAGTCTGTGCTTTTTGGTGAGCTGTTAAATAGAATATTTGAAAGTTTTTATAAGAGGTAAGTCTCTTGGAGAGAGTATTGCTAACACTGCAGCCAGAGTGACCCTTTAAAAATGTTTTCTCTGCTCAAAATCCTGTGAAGGTTCTGCATTTCACTCAGAGTAAAAAACAAAGTCTTTTTTTACCTCAACCTCATCTACTACCAGGGACGCTCCTGTCTCATGGTTGTTCACTCTGCCTGAAATTCTGTTTCCCCAGAGAGCCACATGGTCTATTCCCTCACCTCAATTTTGGTGAGAAGTCCCCTTTCTCCATATCTTGCTCTGTGCATCTCTCCCACCTGCATCTGGCTGTTCCTTTTGTAATCTATTGGTAATCTAGTAAGTAAAATATTTCTGAGTTCAGTGAGCCATTCTACCAAATTAATCAAACATAAGGAAGCCATTGGGACCTACAGTCTATAATGCTGGGTTAGAAGCGCAGGTGACAACATGGACTTGCAGTTGGATTCTGAAGTGAGGGTGGGGGAGCAGTCTTGTAGGACAGAGCCCTTACTATATGGAATCTGATGGTCTGTCTGGTAGAGTTAAATTGTATGACACCCAACTGGTGTCTGAGAATTGCTCAGTGGTGTGGGGAACATACATATCCCTCCCCGAGCATACATGAACACATCAGAATTGGGTGGCATAATCTTAGCTGAAATCATGAAACATTTTCATGAAATTTAATTGAAATAAGAATTTTTAAAGTCACAGTGATACCAAATTCAGGTTCAGCTTCCTGTTGCTTAAAAGCCAGGACTTAAGAGATAGGTGATGATGTAAAGAAAGAGAGCTTATTCAGGTGCTGGCAGCTTAAGAACATGGGGACCATCGTCCCAAAGACAACATCTCCATGCAGGCGGAGGTTTGTATAAGGAAGAGAAGGAACAGAGAATAAGTGGGAAGGGAGGACTGAAAAATTCTCTATAAGCAAACCAGAAGAGTCTCTTCTGATAAGGACCTTGAAACTGGTCAAGCAATGGGCTGGTGTGTGTCACCCTGGTTTTCGGCATCCTGGTTCTACAGTTGAAGGTCAACAAATCTCCCAGTGCTGGAATGTCTGAAGGTTGGATTCTGCATCCTTTAAAGTTAGCTCCTGGGATGCTTATACAAACATGCTCTTTATCTACAAGTTACATATTAGTCAGAGTCAGCATCTACAGACACATGTCACAAGATTGGTGGGTGGGTTACAACAGGTGCACTGCATGTGAATGCATTTGCTGTCCATTTGTGGCTTGAGACACTCCTTATTACCTTGTAACCTGACTGCCCTCTAGTGGTTAATTGTTCTTATTAAATTAGTCAATCAAATTTCAAGGTCAAAAAGGATTCAAAGGTTAGCCATCCCATTAAGTGCAGTGTAGAGAGCTAGGTTTTATGATATGAAGACAGAAGAATATATTTAGGAATGGCATTACATTTTTCAATTACTAAATTCACTTGTAATAAGAAATTATCAAATAACATTAACCTCAACATCTTGTTCATCCTTTAACAAAAAATAAGGAAATGGAGACCCAGTAAGGTTATAGCTGAGGCAACTGTCTTCATTTTCAGTAGTAACTAAAATTAGTATAGTAAAAAATATATATATATTACAGCATGATTGACGAATACATATATAAATTCAGGGAATTGATGTGTCAAATCACTTCCTGAAGACATCTGTAGAGAGACAAATCTGAGTGGTCCTGGATACTCATTTTTTTCTTCATTTTAGTCATTTGGCAGAGAACTGGCTCAGCAGGTGTGAACTGGCTCAATCAATAGACAGATACCAGCCATGGGACTCCAGAGGCTCCAACTTTCTGATCAGGTGGCCTTCCTTTAGTGTCATAGCAGTTCTCTAACTCACAAAACCTCATCAAATAAGGGCACAGGGACTCGGCTAGATTGTCATGTTGGCCACAGTGCATGCAGATTCTCTGCCTGGCCTAAGATTGGGATAATTAGATTTGGGAGCTTGCCTTCACTCCACTACTTTCTACTTGTAAGTTTTTCCTTTAATAAACCCTATTTTATACCTACATCATTTGGCATTAGCCATGTGCTTTCATGACCCTTTTTCAGGATGCATCACTGTATACAGGAAAGTCCTATTAGAGGCAAGAAACAAAACTAGTGGCATGTGTATTCTGTAAATGTGATTATGGACTTCCAATGCAGCCCTGGTACATGCCAGGGTAGAGCTTTAGGTGCCTTGTGCATATAAAGTCATTTAACAAAGAATGAATCCATTACCCACTGATACCATTACTTGGCCTTGGCCCTATGTCATATCTTTCATGAATCTTGGACCCTTCCAGTGTCAAGATGTTATTTAAGGTCAAATGGGTAAAATGAAAACTCCATCCTCAGTGAAAGAATTATAAAATAGGTGAAGAAATTTCCAAATGTGGTGGTGATCAAACAGG